CCCCGCCCCCCCCTCGCGGTGGTCTCGCCCAGCATCCTGAGCGGCAGCGCTGCCAGCCAGGCCCGCACAGGGCTTTGTCCGCTTTAGAGCCCCTTGCCCGCGCCGCCGAGACCCCGGAGTCCCGGAGCCCGCACCCCGCGGCTGCCCTGGCCCAGGAGGGCCGGGGATCTAGGGCGGGGCCCCGAAGCTGCGCAAAGGGAGGAAGACCCAGGCCTGTGGTGCTCTCCCCAGCCCAGCCCAGCCCAGCCTAGCCTGAGTGAGAAAAAGTAAGCGGCGCGCTTCCCTGGGTGGAGGGCAGGGGGGCATGGCCTCCACATTTAAGGGCTTCTCCACCCCGCTCCCCTTCTCTCTGCTGCACAGTCTGGAGCCTATATTTCTCCAGGGTGGACTGGAGGGGAAACTGAGTCCCAGGGAGGTGGGCACCTGTCTCGCTGCAGCCTGTCCCACGCACACACCCAGCCAGAGTCTTCAACACCCAAACCTCCCAGAGTCTGTGGGCAGGCCTGCTGTGTGCCTTGGGGGATGGTGCTGCAACCTTTCTGGGTGTCAGTTTCCTTCTCTATAAAGTGGGGGTTTGGACTGAAGGAATGAGAAGGGCCCCTCCCCTGAAATTAGGCCATTCACTCCTCAATTAGACAAACCTTCCACTATTGGTGTTTTTCCTTTGGTGATGGAGCTATCACTGGGAGGCCTCCAGGAGGCCTCTGACACAGCCTGGGGGTGAGGGATGGAAGGAAGGCTTCCTGGAGAAAGCTGCAAGCAAGGGTGAAGAATGGCAGGAGTCAGGAAAGGTGCTCTAGGCAGGAGAACGGCATGTGCAAAGGCCTGAGGGAAGAGAGTAGGGTGTATGTGGAAGAGTTAGATCTTATGTTGAGGGTACTGGGGAGCCATGCCAGCTACTGGAGCAGGGGAAGAATGAAATCTGACCAGTGACTTTCAAAGCTTCCTTCTGTCTGTGCATGAGGTCCGCGAGGCTGCACTGACCAAAGGAGTGTGGGGAACTGGGGGAAAGAGGGTCCATCTGGGCAGAGCTTGAGGGGCTGGTGAGAGTGTGGAGTTGGGGATCCAGGCTGGAATGAGAGGGAGCCTGGGGGGTGGCCCTGCTGCCAAACTCCATCTCATGAGGACACAGGAGTGACTGCTGGATGTCAGGGGTGGTGGGGAGTAAAGGTATCTCAAGCTGCTCCTGCGAAGGCAGCCTGCTGGGGGAAGTTGGAGGGGCTTGAGAAGAGAATCTGGGCTTGGGGAGTGGGAGAGATGTGCAGGGTTTTGTGCTTTTCACTCAGTGCTTCCCCTTGGCTGGGCACAGCGTGGTGGCCTGAGCCAGGACATAGGGCTGCAGCCAGATCCCAGGGAACTTACCACAATCCTGGGCCTGATCCCCAGCTGGGACTCCCAACTGAGCCTTGGACATGATAAATGGGGGGGGGGTAGGCAAAGGCTGTGGTCCCCAAGCAGCTAATACGCTGTCTCCCATTTTGACTATCTCCTTTGCCCTGTGACTTCTGTTTGCTTGGTGGACACCCTCCCTCCTGACCTTCACATCAGCCCACAAGATGGGCCTGGCAGACTGAGTTCCCTCCACCCTTCAGATCGGCAAACTGAGGCCTGCAGAGGGGGTGGGTCCGGTGTGCCTCCAGCACTGCCTGGACTTTTGAGCACGTCCAGTCTCTGGGTTCCAGTCATGCTTTGTCTGACCCCCAGCCTCAGTTCCTTTCTCTGGGAACAGTTTAATTGTGGCCCCAAAGACCCAGGACTGTGACACGGAAGTCAGAATGATAGAGCCAGGCATGTAGTAGGCCCTCGGAGCTGGTTAGGATGGCTTGACCCATTCCCCCACCTGGGGCCAAGCCCCCCACCCCTACTCCAGGCCCAGCTGTGCCCTTGGTGACCCCAGGGTGGGCAGGGGACCTTCTGGGAGTAGGAGGAGAGGAAAATGAATAGGCAAGTGAAAGAATGTGACCAGGTTGGGGAAGGAGGGGTAGGAATAGGTGCCCCCTTGTGAGAAGGGGAGGGCTGGCTAATTAGGGGGCTCAGGCAGGTAGGGGGAGGTGGCTCCCAGGGAGGGGATGGGCTGCCATTGGTGCGCCTCAGACAAAGACGGAGGGAGGGGGAGCGCTGATGGGAAGGGAACAAAGAGGGTAGGGGGGGCTGGTGTGTGTGTGTGTGGGGGGCAGCTCTGGCAGGAGTGCCAAGCTGTGGGAGGAGGCGTTGGCCAGCTGGACAGAGGGAGGAGGTTGGGCCGGAGGGAGAAAGGACAGCCAGACACACAAAGAAGCAGACGGAGATGACAGAGCCCAGGGGAGGGGGCATGGGGCACCCGGGGCTACAGGGGCTGGCAGAGGGCTGACTGCAGAGCTGCAGGTTCACACAGGTAGCTACCTGGATCCAGCCGCTGATGGAGGGGTTGTTGGGGTTAGAGAGTGACCAGGTTCCCGACTCCCAGGGGACTCCTGGTGTCGGCTTGGGTCTGTCTGGGGCTCCACCGTCAGCCTGCCCATTGGTTTCTTAGAATCTTCATGACTTTCTTATTGTCCATCGGTTGGGCCAGCTGGTGGTCTGTCCACCCAGCCTCTGGGCAGCTGCATTGCTCAGGGAAGGGCCTTGGCTGTCTGTCTCTCTCTCTGGCTGTGAGTGTGTTTGTGAGCCTGGTGACACTGGGCTAGCCAGTCCACCTGCTGGGTTAGACTGTCAGGGTCTTCAGCTGTCCATTTCTCTGACTCTCTGGCCAGCTGTAAACATAATGTGTCCTGGAGCCCAGCTGTGAGAGTGGAAGTCTGCCTGTGTCTGTCTGTCGGTCAGTGTGGCATTTGGGCTAGAACACCTGTCTGACAGCTCTGTCTCTGTCTCCCATTGTCCCTGCCAGTATCTGTCACTCCATCTCCCATGTTGTCTGTCTCCCAGATTCCCTGGACCAGCACCATCCTGCCTGCAGCAGTCCACGCCATCTTCTGCCTGGGATCCAGTCCTAGGGTTGGGTGGGAAGGCTGGGGCGTATGTCCAGGGTTGCCCCCTCCTCAGAGCCTCCGTAAACCCTTTGACCTGTGGTCTCAGACACTGCAGGAGCTGAAGATGACGAGCTCTGTGGCACCTTACGAGCAGCTGGTGCGGCAGGTGGAAGCCTTAAAGGCTGAGAACAGTCACCTGAGGCAGGAGCTTCGAGACAACTCAAGTCACCTGTCCAAGCTGGAGACAGAGACATCCGGCATGAAGGTGGAGTGGGAGGCTGGGCAGAGGACGTGGGCCCAGGTCACAGGGACAAACACCAGGGTGCTGGATCCCAGATGGGCAGGCAGGGGCGGGGGCATCTCACAGGGGTTGGACCTGGGGCAGTCCAGGGCAGCGGCCATGCCAGCCAGCACTCTCTCCTGCCCCCACCTCTAGGAGGTCCTGAAGCACTTACAGGGCAAGCTGGAGCAGGAGGCCCGAGTGCTGGTGTCCTCGGGGCAGATTGAGGTGCTGGAGCAGCTGAAAGGTGAGGGGCCAGCCTGGGGGCCCCCACTGCACAAGGGGGCAAACCCTGTCCACCCCCAGAGGGAGCTGGGAGGAGGAGGGGCAGGAAGGGGTGCTGACCAGCTCTCTCCCTCCGTGACCATCCAGCCCTGCAGATGGACATCACCAGCCTATATAACCTGAAGTTCCAGCCCCCAGCCCTGGGCCCTGAGCCCTCTACCCGGACCCCTGAGGGAAGTCCCGTACATGGCTCCGGGCCCTCCAAGGACAGCTTTGGGGAGTTGAGCTGGGCCACAATCCGGCTGCTGGAGGAACTGGACAGGGAACGGTGAGGCCACTGGCAGCTGTCTTGTAGCCCCTCCCCTAGCCACACTCCAACCCCAGCAGTCTCTGCCCTTTGGTTGGCTCCACCCACTGAGTCAGCCCCACCCACCTGGCCAGTTGCCTCTGCCTGCCCCCCATTTTCTGTGGCTCCTTCACTCCCTTTCCTGGCATAGCTGACCTCAAGTAGAGGACAAAGAGGAAGGGGGGTTCCTGACAGAGGGAAGGACTCCTAGGGGACATCCCCAGGGGTCCTAGACACTCAGGCGTCACCAGGGCAGGGCTGTGTCCAGTGCCAAGACTCAGAGTTAGGCCTGGAGCCAGAAGGCCTGAAGGCAGCCTTTGTGGGGAGAGGACTGCAGCCCAAGAAACCTGGGCCAAGGGCCAGAGAGGGAGGCAAGGTCTGGGTGCTTGGCTCAGCTTGGCTGGATTGTGTGGGGTCAGACGGGACAGTTCCAGAGAGGCCCAGAGTTAAGTCCATGCTCTGCTACTGTGTGACCTCAAGCAAGTCCCCTAGCCTCTCTCAGCCTCAAACTTCTGCTCTGTAAAATGGGAGGGAATAGCAGTGTCTCCCCACAGGGTGTCAAAAGGAAGACTGTTGCACCTGGAGCAGTCTGAGCCTGAAGCCTCCTCTGTGTAGGCTGGAGGGAGATTAGCAAGTGTCGGAGAGGTGTTAGAGTCAGAACAGCCCCCTCAGAGTCGTCCTTCTAGGACCAGAATTTACAAAGGAACTACCTTTTCTTTTTAATTAATTTTTTGTGCCCCACCCATCCACCCCTAGTTTTGGGGAGCACCAAGAGCAAGATTTTGCCATGTTACCTGTTAAGCTTGGCACACACTAAGCACCCAACAAGCGATTACAAAACTAAAAATAAATCACATTTATTAATGGCTCCCTCTCTGTGAGCCCTGGCCCACGTACCTGCCCTTTCCCAGGTGTTTTTTGTTGAATGAGATTGAAAAAGAGGAAAAGGAGAAGCTCTGGTACTACTCGCAGCTGCAGGGCCTGTCCAAGCGCCTGGACGAGCTCCCACACGTGGAGACAGTGAGTGTACGGGGTGCTGTAGGTCGGTCCTGCCCCGGGAGAGGAGAGCGGCGGGGAAGCCCCGGGCCTGGGTGCACTCTCATCGTGGCCCACCCGCTCTTCCCAGCAGTTCTCTATGCAGATGGACCTCATCCGACAGCAGCTGGAGTTCGAGGCCCAGCACATCCGCTCGCTGATGGAAGAGCGCTTTGGCACCTCGGATGAGATGGTGCAGCGGGCGCAGGTGCGGCAGTGGGCGGGCCGAGGCGGGCAGGGCCATACGCCAGTGGGCTAATCGGAGCGCAGAGATAGTTGTGCGTGGGCGGGGCGGGGGGCGGGGGAGGGGTGTCTTGATTAATGGGCGGAGTTATATGCCACTGAGCGAATCAGGAGATACTACTGCGAGCGGTGTCTAGTTCAGGAGGCGGAGCCAGAAGCTAGAGCTGTTTGTGGATGGAGCCAGAGGGAGCTAAGGGCCGAGCGGGGATCAGAAGACAGAGTTCGAGAATAGTGGAGGCCAGGGCGAACAGTGGGATTAACTGAGTCTGAAGAATACAAGGGCGTTGACTTGATCGGGGCCATACCAGGGAGTGGGTGGGTCTGGAAGGATGGGTGGGGCCAAATAAGGGAGTGGGCGGGTCTAGAGTAGGTCCTAAGTAGCGGGCAGCGCTGGAAAGATGGAGCGGGGTCTAAACGGTTGGTAGGGCCAAATCGGAGTAGGTGGAGCTAGAGCCTGGAAGGGTGGGTTGGACCATGGGCAGTGCCAGGATGTGGGTGGAGTCAGATATCAGGGTGTGGTTTAGAATTGGTCAGCCACATCAAGGAGTAGGCAGAGCCAAAGCCAAGGGTGGGATTTGGACAAGTGGGTATGGCCATACCATAAAGTAGGTAGAGTCAGATCTGGGGGTGGGGTTAGAAGAGTGCGGAGGGCCCTATCCGCGAGTGGGTGTGGTCAGAGCCGGGG